TATATATATATATATATTGTTTTAGTTTCACTAATTTTTTTATTATTTTTTGTACTTGAGAAATTCCTTAATAAATTGGTACCTGGCGGTAAAAGAGTGGGTTTTAGGACTGTCAAATGTTTATTTTTTAAATTGATTTCATCAAATTTTTCTTAAAAAATTATTATTTATAGATATTTTTTTATAACTTTTTAATATCCAAATAAATTATAAGATTTTTATAATGAAAATTGATTATAATAATATTACTATGTTATTATATTTTTAAAAAATTCTTAAGCACTTAAAATATCAAATCCCATTGATGAGGACATCTACATGAGTTCTTGCGCGAGGAGACATGCATGGTCTACGGCCATGATCTACTTTTGATTTTATTATATTTGATGTATTTTGTTTTATGCTTTATGAGTATATTGTATTTCTTTCCATGTATGCCCTTGCTTAAGGGCCTCGTCATGTGTTAGCCTTAGGGGCAATTTGGTCTTTGTATTTTTCTTTATTCATTTGGCTATTTAAGGCCTTCTCCTCTTCATGAGAGGTTAATGAATGATTGTTTTGAATGAAAATTGTTTTTGTTTCTACTTCTTCTTATTGCATGGGAGCTTGAGAAGGGAGAGAGCTCAAGGGGAGCAAATCGCAAGGCCCACCAGTCATTGGAAGAGTCAGCGGCTCGTGGTTAAATTATTCTATCTTCTCGTTTGTATTTTCCTCCAACCACTTCCCCTCCACCCCAAGAAAAGCCAATCAAAATCCTTGTTGCGAGATCTCTTTGTGAGTTCTCTAGGTAATTACAAGCCTAGTTCTTCTTCTCCCTATAAACTACCACAAGCAAAGTTCAAGAGTTGGATGAAGCCGAAGCCTCCACTAGTGCCACCACCCTTGGAGCCCCATCCCGTTGGCCACCCTAGCTCCATCGATCGGCCACCTTACCGTCGGCCTCTCCCCTCTCCACCACTTCCCCCACGCCTCCCTTCCCTAGTCTTCCTTGGAATTTGAATTTCAAAATTCAAATTCTTTCCAAATTTGGAAATTCAATTTATGGAAATTTTTTGAATGAATTCAAATTATAAATTAAATTAATTTGGATTTTATTTAAAATTTTTCTAGTCATCATTCATGTTTGGAAACCCCCTCTCTCTCTCTCCCTAACTCCCTCTCTCTCTCTACATGTCGCCGGCCCCTTCATTGGGCTCCCCATTGATTGCCATCAATGCACCCCCTCTAAATTTTGAAAATTGAAATTAAATTCATATTTTTTGAAAAATTTTAAATTCAAATCAACGAGCAATAAATTCCTACATAATATGTTTCTTAAATCACTCCCCCATCCGTTGGAAGGAATTTGAAGCCACACCTCTTGGCCGAAACTCTCAAGGCCCCACCTCTATTAATTACTTCCAAAGTTAACCCCTCTTTGGATGAAGTAGTTAATTGCTCCCCTCTCTACTCCACCCGGCCCCTCCTCTCCCTAATATTTTCTTAAATTCTTTCCTAATCAACATGCTTTGATTGGAAGAATTAAGTTCAGTTTCCCTCTGCTGGCCGAAATCTTCCCAGGCCATCACGTGGGAATTCCTCCACTAGAAGCTCTCCGAATCCCTTACAATATTGAGCCTGCTTCCTCCCAAAGATGCAGCCAGTGGTTTCCGAGCTCTTCTTACACCTCTAGACACGTGAATTGAAGTTTTCCCTCTCAGATTTATGAGAGGAAAATCTGAAATATTTCAGATTCCTTTAAAGAAATTTTTAGCATTGGTGGAAGGACTTTGAATTTTGGAGAAGAGTGCTGACCAAAACTGTTGTCCAGAGAGTTCGGCATCACTTCCTGCTATCCCGAAAATCCCTGCGGCCACCAACTGCTGTCCACGTGTGTGGGGAAAGTTAATCTCGGCGAAGTGCGAGGAGGTTCGTGGTTGCTGCCCACTTCATTCCCAACTACCATACAACTTTGCCGGAGCGCGTATTTCTCTTGTCTTTGGGTAAAATCGACACTCGACTCTCTATCTTCATAGTTGCATCCTTGAATGTGAATGTATTTTCTTCATGAAGATCATATTAACGCTTCTATGCTAAAACCTAGTAATTAGATGAGTTGTGTGAGAGATCTTTTCATATCAACTAATCTTATTGCTAATATTGAAATTTCTCGTTGAAACCACTCATGTATGCAAAGTAAGACTTAGTTGACTATTTAATGATCTCAACCTCTTGCATGTGTTTAAACCTAAGATAATTTATCACCTTAATGTTATTTTATCGTTTATATCAATAGAGGATTTTGCTTAACATTACTCTCTAAAATTTACAAGTACAAACTTCCTTAAGCAAATCATTTTCGCATGGATTGTATCACATCACCCATTTGTTTAAGCCATTTAGGGTTAACACATAATGATTTTTTTAATGAGAGAAAAGTGAGGAGAGAGAAGAAGAAAAGTCACTACGGGAAAACACCCGAATACCATCGTATTTTCCGGCGAAAAATTCTGGACGGTAATAAACGGCGCAGGTACCGACGGATTTGCTCGACGTAAAGTTTGTGTCAACCTTTCCGGCGCAAAATACGCCGTAAATTCACCGACGCAAGTTCCGCCGGCAAATCCGACGGTATAGGGATGCCTGAACCATTTCCGTCGCACGTTACGGCGGAACCATTCCGGCGTATGTTACCGGCGGACATGGCGCCGGCGTATTTAAACTCAACGAAATATATCCGACGGATTAGACGTCGGAACTTATACCGACGTCACTAGTGTCATTACCGGCGGAACGGCCACCAACTGCTGTCCACATGTGTGGGGAAAGTTAATCTCGGCGAAGTGCGAGGAGGTTCGTGGTTGCTACCCACTTCATTCCCAACTACCATACAACTTTGCCGGAGCGTGTATCTCTCTTGTCTTTGGATAAAATCGACACCCGGCTCTCTATCTTCATAGTTGCATCATTGAATGTGAATGTATTATCTTCATGAATATCATATTAACGCTTCTCCGCTAAAACCTAGTAATTAGATGAGTTGTGTGAGGGATCTTCTCATAACAACTAATCTTATTATTAGTATTGAAATTTCTCGTTGAAATCAGTCATGTACGCAAAGTAAGACTTAGTTGACTATTTAATGATCTTAAGCTCTCGCATGTGTTTAGACCTAAGCTATTTTATCACCTTAATGTTATCTTATCGTTTACATCAATAGAGGATTTTGCTTAACATTGCTCTCTAAAATTTACAAGTACAAACTTCCTTAAGCAAGTCATTTTCATATGGATTGTATCACATCAGCTTGGTATCAGAGCATGACTAGCATGCTTTACATGTGCTAGATGCATCCTAGGAATTTAAGTTAACTTCCCTTAGCTTGTTTACATGCATACCATCGCATTATATGTTTGCATCACTGTTTTATTTTGTTGTCCACTGTTTTTCTGCACTCATTTAGTGGGTTTTAGGTTAGCATTTCTTGTACTTAATTGTTGACCACACTCTAAACACCTAACCCAACACTTAACGCAATTATTCAAGCTGTGTTGTCCAGAAAATTTTTGCAACATTTAGAGAGCTTTAGGTGACCCCAACCTAGTGTTTAAGTGCTGTCCACATCTCAAAACCCATCCTAAACACTTAGGCTTCTTCACCAACTATTGTGGTTTGTTGTCTAAACTTTTTCTGCACCCTGTAGTGAGTCTAAGTGAGCCTAACTTAGTTTCTAAATGAAGTCCCTTACACCCAATCATCTTTGAGTGTCACTTGACGCTTCCCAATGGACCCGATAAGACTCCAAAAGAGTTTAGATGACATCATTAACCTAGTGGGCAATATGACTATAATTATGACGGAGAAATTCGTTGACTATCCCCACTCTACTTACATGCCCCACTCAGCTTATCACCCAAGACCTGAGCCTAGGCCTCCACGACCTCACTTCAAGCCACCTTATCGTCTGCCTACCTTTGATGGTTCTTTGGACACTTACTATTTAGGGAATGGGTTAGACAACTAGAGGACTATTTTGAATCATGTCATGTCCCTGAGTCCCACCAGGTTAGCATCGCTAAGTCTCACCTAAAAGGACGGGCTCTTCAATTTTGGATGAAATTGGAATATCATAAAGAGTCTCACGGTGAGTACCTTGCTTGGAAAGACATGAGACGAGAACTTAATTTGAAATACCAATCCTCTACTAGTGACCGTCATCTAGAGCACCACCCTACCTCGTTTACTGGAACAACCCGTGGACATTGTTGTGGTTCAGACCACCCACCCATTAGTAACATCCGGGTTGCTGCCCCACCCTACAGGTCTTCACCTAACCTTGATGGCCGACCCTCTACTGGGTCTTCTGTTAGATCAATCTCTTATGACTCCCCATTTGGGCCTACTTCTAGCCATCACAGTCAACCTTTAGCCTCCCCAGTCCTTGACCCTACAAGTATGATTATAATAAAGGAAGACATTAAGACGAAGAGGTTCCCTGAAACTGAGATTGAGTGCATCCATTTCATGGTTGCTAGTGATATCACTAATGACGAAGAATTCTTTAAGGATGGAACAGAAGTGATTGAATCAGACTCCCATAATGACTTAAACCCTAAGCTAGAAAAGTTAGAACTTGTAAACGTTGACACCTCAACCCACCCCGATCCAAGACTCCTCGAGGATAAGTCTTTGGACAAAGTATGCTTGGATGATAGTAATGTGATCTCGA